AATATCAGTTTAGTGTCTCTGGAGCTGCTGTACTGTGTGACTCTCAGGTGAGGGATCAATAATCTTTTATAGACTCTACATATAATAGAATATGTGCTGTTTCGTTTGTTCTTCTACTTTGCGATGTAGATAATAATCTGTGCAATATTATTTCTCTCTCAGTATTTCTATTTATCAGAAATCACTGACATGTGCAATAGTGTTATTTCTAGAACTAGTGTCTGTGCAGATTCTCAGCCATCCAGGTGATGTAATACTTGGAGCTTCAATAGAAATCAGCTGGAATCTCTTGAAGGAATAAATAGCGCTTGTGCGTATTTTTGGTTTGTTTCTATTTTTGTACTGCATTCCTTAAACGTTTGCACTTTCTGATGGAACACTGCAAGTTTCCCCACTGTGGGATAAATAAGGGCGGATTTTATCCCAACTCTGTGCTCCAGCTCTTCGGTCCTCCACTCCAGCAGGTGTCCCTTACCCTCAGGCTGCCTCTAAAACCCAGAGAAGAAGAAGAGTGATATCGAGGGTTCTGGCTGTTGGAGTTGCCAGAGTCACGTTTGGGGAGAACATATCAGCTGAGGACCTGCCGGTTGTGAAACCTGTCAGCGAGAGAGTCGTGATGGAATAAAGCCTCCTCCCTCTGATGGCAGCAGCCCGTTTCTCTGCTCCACAAACCGCCGTTTCTTCTCCAGCGATGCGCAGTTTGAACATACGAGGAGAGTCTGTGCGTAAAAGTGCGCGCTTCTCCGTGTCGCACCGCGCTCGGCTCCCGTCCTCTCCTCCTCTTCATCTTCTCCGGGTGTAGAGCTCCCAGCAGCCGCAGCACTTCAAGCCTCCAGACCGGCCGGACATGGCGGAGCTCCGACCCGCCCGGTGCGGCTCCTCTGCGCGTCTCACGGCCGCGTTTTTGTGCGTTTTTCTGCTCGTTTTCCTCCGCTGCGCCTCCGCGAGTCGTGATGTTGTTCATCCAGGCGGATCCACGCAGGAGGATTTCCTGCAGCAGCACAGCAACTCCACGGAGCACAGGAAGGCTTTCCCCGTCCTCGCCTTCAACTACGAGCACGTCAGGAAGCCCTTCGAGATCTCCCTGTGGATCCTGCTGGCGCTGCTCATGAAACTTGGTGAGTGGCACAAAAACCCAGTTAATCAATAGCTTCTGCATCTGATCCGGCATCAGACAGGAAGGCATCGATTGTTCAGACTGGAGGAGGCCCACAAAACTTTATTTTATGGCCACTTAGAGCTTCTGACAAAGTGTTTCAAGCAGTTAAAGTGGATTTATCTGTCATACAATTCAGTTTGATTAACAAATGAAGAGAGAAAAATGGAAAATTAAGAGTATAAGCACGAAAACAGTAAATGTAAAATAAGAAGATTGATAATTAAGATGCAAATAACTAACTTAGTCAGTCTCAAATGCCAGGGGCCCTCTTTGGTTAGTCTCACAAAAATAAAGTCTGATTTATTTTAGGTATAAAAACTTTCCCTGCATGTTTTTCATTTGTGTTGCTTTTCAACAGTGAATCATACTCAGTTTAATTTTGCCTTTTTACGACAAGAAATAAAGACCCTTTCACGTCAAGTGAAAACTGAAGAAATGTCAGTCGATTTAAAACATGAAGTGTAAATTCACCTCCTTTAAAATGACTCACACAATTCAACACGGCTGGTAGAAGCCTTACACTTGGTGAAATGGAGATTATGAGTGAATGTGTCTCAGTGACTGTAGTATAAGGACTCCTGTGTGTGGAAGGTCCAGTCACTGGTGGATCAGTACTCCTGGATAGAACTACACTATGAAGATAAAACAACACTCAAAGCAACTTTGTGAACATGTTATTGAAAAAATATAAGTCAGGGGAGGACACAAATAAACTTTACATATCAGTGAATGTCTCTTGGAGTTCAGTTAAATCCACCATTTATAAATGGAAGGAATATAACACGTGTAAATCTGCCAAGAGCACGACGTCCTCAGAAACTGAGTGGCCGAGCAAGAAAGAGATCGCTCATGAGTTACCCAGAAAGTATGTGAGAAACTCTGAAGTCAACTGGAAGAAAGATCTTTGGTCTGATGAGACCAAAATTGAGCTTGTTGTCCACAAGACTAGATGCTATGTTTAGCTGACACCAAACGCTGCAGATCATCACATACACACCGTCCCCACTGTGAGGCACAGTGGTGGCAGCATCATGATGTGAAGCACGGTGGTGGTAGCATCATGATGTGGAGGATGGTGGTGGCAGCATCATGATGTGAAGCATGGTGGTGGCAGCATCATGATGTGGAGCATTGTGGTGGCAGCATCATGATGTGAAGCATGGTGGTGGCAGCATCATGATGTGGAGGATGGTGGTGCCAGCATCATGACGTGGAGTATAGCGGTGGTTGTATCACGATGGGAAGCTCGGTG